CCCCCTGGCCCCGCCAAAAAACAAACAAACAAAATCTCCCTACAACTTACCAAAAAGTGGTATTTTGTCTTTAGGAGAGATGACCCTCAAACTGAGTGAGCCAGGGATTCAGTAAAACGTGAAGCTTGGTCTCTGAACATACCCATTATACTCCAGAAAAATCTGTATTTATTTTCTTCCTTGAGAGAACAAATTGGGAGACATAGCATATCATCATTAAAATACCACATGTTCATAGGTATATTCAATATCCATTTATGCAAAAGACTATGTCTAAAAGGAATACCACATTCAAATTACATTTAGTTACTTCACCTCCATTAACAAATTCAGTTACTTCCCTCTGCCTCTGAATTGAGAACAATTTTGAAGTGGGTGGATTCTATTGAATTTATTAAAGGAGATGTAGGAAAGAAAAGTGCTTTTGATTGCTACCCCACTGAAAGGTGCTAAAGGCACTTGATTCGGTTACACATGCTCATGGGGTGTGGAGTTGAATTCAGGTCCTGCTCAAGACCTGTAGAATTTGGAACAACTGCCTACATCTATCTGAACCTCAGTTGCTACATCTGTCCAATGGGGGCTATCTACCTCCCTCTCATGTTTTGCAAATTAAAAAAGAAAATATGCCAGGATGCCTGGGTGGCTCAGTCGGTTAAGCATCTGCCTTTGGCTCAGGTCATGATCCTGGGGTCCTAGGATAGAACCCCGCATCAGGCTCCCCTGCTCAGCGGGGAGCCTGCTTCTCCTTCTCCCTCTGCCTGCCCTCCCTGCTTGTGTGCTCTTGTGCTCTCTCTCTGTCAAACAAATAAATAAAGTCTTTTAAAAAAAAGAAAGAAAATATGCCTTAATGAGTAAAATCCGAAATTCTCTACAAATGGGAGATCTCACTTTTTTTTTTTTTTTTTTTTTTGTCCTCCGTATTAAAGTTGTGGCTACAATATGCAACTTTTAAATACAAATGTTCTGGCAGGGCAGGGGCATGAGATGGAGGAAATGAACACCTTGGGCATATGCATTTGTGCCACAGAACCGCATACTGAGGGGCAGGGCAGAAATATTAAATACTAATGTGCCAAAGCTACACTTTAAAAAGACGTAAACTCAAGGAACAGGGAAATTTGCCAGGTTAAAGTTACTGATACCCCTCTGTTTTATGACCTCGCAAATCTCCATAGAAGGAAGAAAGATGATTGCTGACATATAGCATGTGTTAGCAGAAGGGACTGCTTGGGAGCTTTTTGCCAAGTGCAAACCGACAATTGTTCCTGTCTTAGGCAAAACTCTGGCTTTGGGTGGTGTTTTCCTTTTGTGCTCCCAGCATCACCCCAAAGCAGGATTGGAAAGTCACCTAGCTGTGTTCAACATGTTCAACCTGCCCCCAAAGACAGCTCCCAAATTAACTCAGATTATCTGTTCAGTATTTACGCTGAATATGTCCTAGAAATGTGCAGTCTCTTCATTCCTATGCCTTCTCCTTGGGTAGGTGTGCAGAAGGAGCTTTTTTATAAATTTTCTTCGACACTCTCAGATCAGACCCAAATCTCCAAAACTGTCCCACTGAATGGGAGGTGATTGTAATCTTATAGCCCACATCATTGAAGACAGCCCAGAGTCTTCTATTGCCCATTTCCTCAAACAGCTGTGGGTGGAACTTAACATTCTCTTAGGGTCAAATGTTCCCTTGTCAGTGGGGAAATTTTTCTGCTCTAAATGAAATGTTACAAAATACATTTCCCCCCACAAAGCTCTGGACTGGAAGCTGTTTTATTTATCTGACTGTTCTGAGGACTGTAAAACATGCTGTTTCACATTGTAACATAAGCCCCTTTTTTTTTAAAGTGTGCCCTGAGTATTTGCAATTGTTATCAGCCCCAGATGTATCCGAGTGTCAGCGTGAAGCTCTGCTAGCTGGCTCAGATATACAGAATGTAATTAGCTCAAAGTCCTCTGTGCTAAGTTTGTAGTAGAAGCAGCGCCTGAGAATAACCATTTGCTCCTCTCGTCTCCTCCTCTCTCCCCACCGCTATCACACCCCCCCCAAAATGGTGGCAAAGGTTAGAATCTATTGTTCTTGATGCTGAAGTTCTGAACAGAGCAAATTCATGTTCTGATGGAGATTTTTTAAATGAGAGAGAGCCAGTGGCAGAAGTTAGCTGGGGAAAGAGACAAGATTAATCAAAACTAGGACTGGAAGTGGACGGGTTGGGCGTACCTAAGAGGGAAAAGGTGGTCCTCACTGAGTTTTAAGACTGGGTGCTTGAAATCTCAAATCCTGTTATTTTGCTTTCTTCTCCATTCGGTTTTCCACTCCTAGACCTTCAACATTTAAAAACGCATCCAAGAAGGAACATTTGTCTTTTCTAGGCAACGCTTCCCAACCTGTGCTCCATCCTGTGGCTCGTTCTAGAGAAAAACTCTTAGGTACCATGAAGAAAGCAAATCTGGTATGATGCAACCAAGGATGGGCATAGGGTGACCTGAGCTGCATTCTTAAGAAAACTGATCAGTGTATCAGCTTCAGAAAAAACAAAGAAAAAAAAAAAGGCGGGGGGCAAAACCAAACAAAAATAGGTGGGTCATTTACCCGATGCAGTACACATTGGTGAAGGCAGCATAATTCCTTCCTGACCCTTGGAGGAAATCAGTTTATGCCCTGAAGCATGAAATTTGATTGTAATTATTTTAGCTTGCTTGGCTACATATGTTATTGATGATCTTTCCTAAAAATCACCAGCCTTTTAGAAATCCTGCCACAGTACTTGACTCAATGACCTGTAAGGTATACATAATAGAAAATAAACCATGCAGGATTTCTCTATTGATTGTTGCGTAGAAACTCTCTCTTCCTAAAGAGCAAAGCACCAGTATTATTACAACAGTGGCATATGAAACAAGATCATATTTACAAATGCCTATGTATTTATAAAAGATGCAAAGTCTACATAAGTTAACCAACTGCCTAGAAATCTCGTGTATCTTAGAAAACCCAAAGTTTAAGTAGACATTTTGCCCTTAGCTTATACAAAGAGGTGTTGTGGGTTTTTTTTGTTTTTGTTTTGGGTTTTTTTGGGGGGGGGCTTTTTGGGTTTTTTTGTTTGTTTTTTATTTTGTTTTGTTTTGTTTTTTCACAAACACAGTGAAATGACAGGTTGAGACAGTTGTCCAGAGGTCTCTGAGCATGCTGTTGAGAACACATATTGAGGTGAAAATCCATGAAGGCATATATATTTATCAAAGTTTTTAAATGAATTTCCAATTCCTCACTTTGCCTTCCTGCTCAGCAAGTGAGTAAAAATGCTAGATATGTAAATAAATAATCAATCAATCAGGTAAGCCAGGTAATAGAAGATTATAACTTTCTGAATCCCAAATTGAAGGCTTGTGGTATTTATGAGTTTGGTTGCAGACCTACTCTCCTTTCCCAGCTGATTTTCTTATCTTAAGAAAAATCAAAGAATTTTTCTGGAAAGCAGAGAAAGTTCTTTTTTACAATGCAGGAAATACATGCCAGCATCAATACATTTTCTGTTACTTTGCTCTTTGGAGAAGGCTGCCTTCCAGTCTGAGCAAGAAAACCTAATTGAAACAGAATTAAATCTTGACTACATCTTGAATCTCTGTCCAAATGCCCTGCTAGACCAAGTTTTATTCAGAATTTTGAATGGTTTCGGGTACTTGTGTTTTTTTCTTTATGCTCTGCTTCCAAATACTTAATGTAAACCTACTCTGTGCTATGTGCCTGATCACAACCCTGTGATCAGATATGACCACCTAGCCCCGTGGAACTTCCACTTTACCAAGTAAGAGCAATATTACAAAAACTAATCATGCAATTAATTCTTGATTAGCCCTGCAATTAGTATGAAGAGGGAACAGTGAATAGCGTGAAGGCCCAGGAAAACAGGACCTCAGGTGGTGACTGGGAGGGAGGGGGAGGTTCCCTGAGGAGCGATGTCTGAAGTGAGATTTGAAGCTCCAATAGGAACCAAGCAGTCAGGGGGGAGGCAAAACACATTTCACACAGAAGAAACATCTCTCTTTCTCAGTGGAATACACTTGACTTTGCTTGGATGTCTGAACTCTTCATTTAGAGGAAAAGTCAGTGTCAGCACATTCCGGACAAGGTATGTACAAGAAACCTGTTCCGTGAGTTGCCACGGGGACGGTTCTAATCTCAGGGCATCCCTGTGACTCTTTTGGACTCCACGGTGATTTTTCTTCAGACTGCTTCCATGGCTCCTGATTTGGCTCTGGCGAGGCCTCAAAACACCTCTTGTGTAAAGGCTGTGGTGAGATGAAACTCAAAGCAGCCTCATTTCAGGGGGAAAGAGGTTAAAGATATAAACAGGCAGGAGAAAGACTTTACAAGATCTCAGAATATTCAAGAAGAGGACGAAAGACGGGGCACCTGGGTGGCTCAGTCGTTAAGCGTCTGCCTTCGGCTCAGGTCATGAAACCAGGGTCCTGGGATGGAGCCCCGCATCGGGCTCTCTGCTCGGCAGGAAGCCTGCTTATCCCTCTCCTACTCCCCCTGCTTGTGTTCCCTCTCTTGCTGTCTCTCTGAGTCAAATAAAATCTTAAAAAAAAGAAGACGACAAAAGAGAAATGGCAGATAAGGCAAGAAAAAGGAAATCTCATCTTCTATAAAGATGATTCTTATACTGTTAATAAGATAAAGAGGCACCCACGTTTCAAGAGCACGAGCAGGTAAATAACAGAGAGGAAATGGGAGAAAACCACACATCATTATATGTGGATATGCTCTCCTTTCTGCCCTCTCCCCCTCCCACCCCATCGTCCCTACCTGGTTAGATTTTGCAGGCTCTCCCTCACACCTCCTCTTATGAGATAATTTCCCCCTGAAGCCTTAGTTCTGCAAAGTCAACATGGCTTATGAAAATCAAGTTGTATTCTGTATATTTAATACATCATCTCTAAGGATAATCATTCTGGAATCTGAGCTTGTTTCTGTTATCTAGCTCTGCTTGACAATGATTTATGAACCAGAAAACAAGACATCTTCATTTTCATAAAGCCAACGGAACCTTCTGGACCAGGAGGAGCTGTGAAACTCGTTTTGACTAGTAAACTGAAACAAACATGACATAAAAGTCAATACAATCGCACCACTGGGCTCTCATTTTACAGAATAACTTTTTCTCCCAATCCAGCAAGA